TTTTGAGAAGGATCTTTGCATCACCTGCTGAAGAGTCTGGAGGATCTTGCTGTAGTATTTCCTCCAGAAACTGCATGACAGCTGGGAGGATCTTCCTCATTGTCTTGAGGGCAGCTTCTCTGCAGGCCCACCTAGTGTCTGACAGCTTCTGCAGCTCCAGTGGGCACTGCTCGGGGTACAACTTCTCCTGCATTTTAATAAATGCAGAGTGTCGTTTAGATGAATTTGCCACAAAAGTGTAAAGCTTTTCGATTAGGTTGAAAAAGCTGACAAAACACATGTTTGACTTTGCGCTCTCTACTAAAACCAGATTAAGGCAGTGTGCCTGACAGTGGACATATAAGGCCTTTGGATTTTTTTATGTATTCTTGACTGAAGTCATTTAAAGCGCCCGCTCATGTTTGTAGCCTCATCATAACCTTGAACCCGGATGTTGTCAATCTTTAGATTATTTTCTTTCAGTAGAGCGATTAGTAGCTTTTCAAGAGCATCTCCAGTTGTTGACTCCACATTACACACCTGAAGGAAGCGCTCCTTGATTTCCATGTTGTGCACATATCTGACAACAAAGGAAACCTGCTCTGTGTGCGACACATCTGTGGTTTCATCCATCATGACACAAAAGGTTTCACATTCTTGAATTTCTGCTTGGATGACACGTCTTACAGATGTGGCCGAAGCTTTAATTATGTCGTTCAGACTTCTGTTTGAGAGGAGCAAGACGAGAGGTCTTTTTTTTTTTTTTGAGGACTATAAATACCTTGGAGTACACATTGACAATAAACTGGACTGGGCTAAAAACACCACAGCACTTTACAGGAAGAACCAGAGTCGTCTCTATTTCTTGAGGCGACTGAGGTCCTTCAACATCTGCCAGAAAATGCTCAGGATTTTCTATGAGTCTGTTGTGGCCAGTGCGATCCTCTATGCTGTTGCATGCTGGGGGAGCAGGCTGAGGGTCGCAGATGCCAACAGACTCGATAAACTGATCCGTAAGGCCAGCAATGTTGTGGGGATGGAGCTGGACTCCCTCAAGGTGGTGTCGGAGAGGCGGATGCTGTCCAAGATAAAGACAATGTTGGATAACACCTCCCACCCACTCCGTGACATGTTGGTCAGTCACAGGAGCTCGTTCAGTGAGAGACTGAGATTACCGAAAAGCACCACTGAACGACACAGGAAATCATTCCTGCCTGTGGCCATCTCCCTGTACAACGCATCCACTTAACACACTGTTTGCTGCTACAACTACACATGTTTCTTTACCAGCTATTTATTTATGAGTGACTTATGTATGTATGTATGTATGTATATATATGTATTTAATATTGTACTATTCTTAGTTAGCGTATTGTCTGTCTTGTCTTTATGTTGGTTTATAATGGAGCACTGTAACAAAAAAAAATTTCCCCCAGGGATCAATAAAGTATTCTGATTCTGTCGCGCTTTTATTTCAAGGTGTAATTTAATTACACTGTCATACTTGCTGAACAACTCAACTAACTCCAAGAAATTTCCTCGATTTTGGCTTGACAAGGTCTCATCATCTCCCCTGAAAGGCATACCCTGTCTTGCCAAGTAAAGAGTGATGTCTATGAAACGAGACAAAATTTCTCTGTTTCTCTCTCTTTCTTTATCTTTTGCAGCTTGTGACACTTGGTCAGCTACTTCAAAAGCTGCCTCCAAGGTTTTTTTTTTAAATGAGTTCCACCTCACCATACCACACATGTGAGACTCTGATGCACTGTGCTCTTTAATCCTTTCTAAAGCCCTTCTCCACCGACTGAACCCTTCCGTTTTCCAGGTTTAGCGACTTGGCAGCTGAAACCAAACGTGGCATCAGATCTGGTTGGAGAATACTCTAGCCATGGATTTTTCTCATACCACTTCTTTTGAAATGATCGTCCCTCTTCATTCTTTGGATATGATGACAGTACTGGTTGGCAGGGTCCAATATTATCACACATTTGAATAAAGGCCTCATCATACTGTATGTGGAATTGTAGGACATGGGCAGGATCAGTTGGGTGTGCAAGTCCAAGTAGGTTTGAGAATGTCCTCTCTATGGCTTCACTCTCCTCCTCTCTGGGCTCTGACTCACTCTAGTCTTTTTCTCCTGGCTTGTCTTTTCCTCTACATTCTCTCTAGGCTCTGCCTGTAACTCAGTTTTTGCCATCAGTACAGATGTAAGGTTCATAAGACATGTGGAAGTCTTTTAAAAGTAACCACAGAATAAGTATTAAGATTTGAAACTGTCAGTTGGAATGCTGTGTTTATTGAAGAAGAAGAAAAAATCCCCAACATTTTGAATGTCCTGAATGACTTCTAAACTTTCTGAGAGATTCAACTCTCTCTCAAACAGAGAGTTTTAGATTTGACCTTCAATTAATTAAAAAACTTAATACATGAATACATTTTTTAAAGGTGTTTTCTTTTTCAATTTTAAAGTTATTCCAGGCCCATTCTGACTGATTGGAACAGCCCTTTTAACACTGACCAAGATCATTTTAAATCTGCCATTCACAAGTTGCTGAGCGTAGGATGAAGAAACTTTCCCGAATTTCATTTTTTTAACATATTGTGTGTAAGGTGTGTTGTCTAAATCTATTGTCACGTGTTTCTGATGTTTGTTCTTTTAAGTAGGATTGCACTTAACCTGTGTGTATTTAAATGTGCTGCAACCTGGTGCAACCAGATTAAATTTACAACTTTTTGAGTCATTGTGAAAGTAAATTAAAGTAAAAATGATTTATATAGCACTTTTTGAGACACATCACAAAGTACTTTAAAACAAAAATCCTAAAACACGTTTTGAAAACCAAAGCTTCAAAGTTTAAAAAGCTGCTTTCTGAAAGAGTCCAGTAGCTCCAGAGTCTGAGGGCCACAGTTGCAAAACTTCTTCTGTGGCTGACATGATGCTTGCCTGATTCTGAGTCACTGGCTACAGTGAAGCTGCATACTTTTCTCCTCATGTTTACGAGTTATTTACACCAAATGTCAGTGGGAATTAAAAAATAGATACATGACACTTTGTTTTAACAAATAATGTAATTAATGATTTTTTTCTGCATTTTAATTTATGTTTTTACACAGGATCACCCCCACCTAAAAGTTCTTGGTGGTTAATGGGAGGGTATATTAGTCTTCATAATCACTAGCAAAAACAATGACGAATTACACATGCATGTGGGGGCCTGTATTGAACTAACCACTAACCTCCACCCCCACTCAAACTCCTTTTTCCTCAGTATCACAGCCACACCTCCACTATCACTTGACACTTTATGGGTTGTTTCTTTTTGCTCATATTTTAAAGTTCAGGGGAAGAACACAGAAATTCTAAGCGTTATTAAACTCATGCAACTGTTGCAATAAATGAAGCATGAAGCACATTAATGCTGGAAGATGTCTTGATTCTTAAAATGCATTGTTCTAATTAATGGTGATGAGAAAGGAGGCTCCAGGAGGAGCTGTAATGCTGCATCTTTCAACATCTGAAAGAGGCGTGGCCATAGCTAGAATATACGAAGCATGTAGGGAGGAGGACTCTTTGACCTTTTTTTTTTTGCGTATTTTGTTCCTGTTCTTGGTGGGACACGTAAGCTTCTTCTAAGGATTTGATGGTTTGATTTTTTTTTTAATGCCTCAATATTTTTGTTTTCTTTTTTCTTTTTATGTGATGAGAAAGAAATTATTTTACTTCTCATCACAGCTTTTCCTGCTTCCCAGACTGTCACAGTGCAAACATACAGAGAAAAATAACCAGAAGTACCTGGAGAGAAGCCACACAGAAACGTGAACATGCAAACTCCACACAGAACGGTCCCAAACTGGATTCACTCTGGACCTTCTCCCTGTAGACTGTGGTGACGGTGGTAATCATAAACAGGAATTGTTTATTTGATACATGAATGATACATAAATGTGAAACAATTTGATGGGTTTTACTCAATTTTATGTTACATTTTAAATTACATGAAATTAAAAATTACAATTACATCTTAATAGAATAAATAAATCAAGGGTAAATTTTTACTTAACGTTTTTGCAACTGTAACAACCGTTCTGTGTCTGTAACAGGGAAAATAAATTCATTAAATTCAGTTGTGATTCTCTTCAAAGCTCTGCATCGTTTTGTTTTGTTTTTTTTATTAATCACAAATACTTACACCAATTTAATCAAACCGCGGACTTCAGCTTCCGCCATTTAATTCTACTCTTTGCTTTTGCTCGCTCCATCCTGCTGTTGTCCAAAGTCATCACATACTCCACCATCTCATGTTGCCTAGCTACCTTCTCCCTGACACCACCTTGCAATCGCTTTCAGATTATACCCTCTGCATTAGATGTAGTCCACCTGTGTGCTGTTTTGCAGTAAGTGTGAAAAGGGAGCAGCTGTACCTCTGTGTCTGCAGTTTGTCCTGATGGAGATCTGTGCAGTTATTAACTGTTCTGTGCACTGAAGAATAACCTGCAGCTGGATCTCAGTCATAACACGTCATGTGACTGATACAAAACTTTTGTTTTAGAATGAAATGTTGGGCTTTATAGATCAGAACCTTGTGGCCACAACTCATCTTCTCTTTAACCTGAAGTGACTGTAACACCTCTGCATCACAGGTCTGATTAGCTGCTATGATATTAACTGGCAGGAGGGGGTCAGTCTAAGAGAGACATGTGGCACTCAAAAACCCCTGAATTTAAATCTATGACAGACAGCAACAGTAAAGATGGTTGCAGAGGCTGAAATCCCATGTGTGAAAAAGGGTTTTTAAAGCCTTATTTTGGGGCAAAGTCAGCAAACGTTAAAAAATGCTTGATGTCAAATTTGACTGCTGATCCTGTACATGCAGTGTTTATGTCCTGGTGACCATTCAAATAAAAGACAGTGCAGATAATGCTTCATAAATATTTACCAATGCAGCATTTCATGATGGCTGCAGAGTGATCGGATCTGCTTCTAGAAGGAATCTCCTGTGTGACGCCAAACTGGATTAGCTTTAAAATCTTTTATTAAAGACAAACAAACTTTCCACTTCATCCTGAGCTCTACATTCAAACTGGTCCAGTGCAGCTGTACAGCTGTAAACACACACAGAATATGATTGAATAAATAATATAGAGAGGAGTGCAGGGATGTGTTTGGCAGCCAGCTGGACGTCACTGGGTAGACTGGTTAAGCTGTGGTGAAGGTGTGTGGCTCGGCTTCAGTGAGGAGTAGATGATGGCTGGCTCTGGTGGAAGATCTGAACACAAACACACAGATTACAGAAAGTTTAGATAAACATGAAAAAGGCCTGCATCAGCTCTGTTTATGACAGCAGAGATATTCACTGACTGATGTGAGCAGGAGCGGGTTAACACTTCTCTTCCTTGGAGCTGATAACACCTTCATATGACCACATTAGTCTCTCTACACTGCACAAAGACCAAAGGGCTGTAATGTTTTCAATGTGGTTTTCCCAGTGTCTGCTGCTGCAGGCTGAGATTTAAACTTTTTAAAATTTGATTTAGGGTTGGACCTTTGAAGAGGAGCAGCTGTACCTCTGTGTCTGCTGTTTGTCCTGATGGTGATGTCTCCATAAGTGATGTCAGCTGTTCTCTGCACTGCAGCTGAATCGCTCTCTGCAAAACAAGACAAAGTCATGTGAGAGATGCAGTACTTTGTGCTAGGGTGAGATAAAGATGGACTTTTCATGATTTAGAGCTGCAAACCTGAGGCACATTCTTCACAACGCATCCTCTGTTTAATAACCTGAAGCCACTTTAACACCTCTGCTCAGTTTAGCTCTCAAAACAGGAAACTTAATGACCACAGAGCTGCTCATGTGTTAAAACGATGCAACTGTTTACACCTCTTGTAAAAGAAACCTTTTTATAAATGATTTAAAATAAATGTTTTTACCTGACTGGCACAGCATCACCATAGAGCTGCCCTGTGCTCATGTGGTACACAGAAAACATAAAAGCTTCTGTTCACTGTGACAGTCAAATGGACAAACTAAGTTTTTTTTTAACTTTTTAACCTCTTTTTTTAAAGTTATCTGCAGTTAAAGGGATTATATTGCTGTTAACATCATCAATTAAAATCTTCAGTTCTGTCTCATGTCTTTTTGTTCATGCCACTGCCTCATTCATGCCTCCCTGTCATTCACACACATGTATTCTGTCTTGCTTCTGCTGACTTTCACTCGTGTTCTCTCCAGAGCACACCTCCACCTCTCCAGCCTGTCTTCTTCCTGCTCCGTGCTCTCACTATAAATCACAATCCCATCTGCAAACATCACATAGAGACTCCTGCCTGACCTCAGCCTGTCCGTGACATCACAAACAAGAAGGGGCTCAGAGCAGATCTCATACATGTCCTGCTCCACCCTCACATACTTATCTGCCAATATTGACCTGCTCATGCAGTACCACAGTTCCTCTCTTGGCGACCTATCACATGTTTTCTCTAGAGCCACAACAACACAGCCCAGCTCCGTCTAACCTCCTCTGTCTTCTCCATCAACACTGTGTCAAGAAAGCATCTGTGGAGCTCTTTCTCAGCGTGAAGCCGAACGGCTGCTTGTTGATCTACACCTCTACTGATCTCCCTCCTACACATCTCCACATGTATGTCATCTGGACTAACAGCATTTCCACTCCTTCATTTCCTCTGCACCTCCTGATTCACTAACCATCCACCCTCTTCGGTCTGCAATGTTCTATAGTTCCTCTCCTCAAAGTGCTACTTCCAAATCAAGCATGCTGATCAAAAAGAATGGGAAAATGCCACTGCCAGTGTTACAACAAAATAAACTCAATTTTAAAGAAGACTGGGGTTCTGTATGACAGTTGAGAAGTCATCTCTAAATAGAAATAAGTTCAATTTTCCCTCTTATATCATTTGTTTTTTAGTTTTTGTGTTTGGACACCTGCCTGAGCACCAAGAAAGGTGAGCACAGTGTTCTAAGCATGTGCAGTGGACTTTGTGCAAGCAGCTTTGTAATCCAGTAGTATGATTGATTACTCACACAGTATGCTAACATATGATATTTAGTATTAAGCAAAAGTATAGAAAGTATTTAAAATGATAAATGTTGTCCTGATGAAAAATCAGCACATGTTTAAAAATCTCAGCCATCGACGTCATGGAGCCTCTTGTGGAAAGAGCAGAGGACTTTTAAAGCATTTCTAACAGGAAACTTGTCGTACCTCTTTTTCGGTTTGACTCGTCTCGACCATCTGCTGAAGTTCTTCTCACTGATGAGGAGGTAGCAGCTGCTGCAGGATCTCTGTCTGCAAATACCACAGATTTCCCTCTGATAACACAATAATTATTGTTGCTGCTGGTTTGACAGCTGGAATATGAATATTTATAAGAATAATGGAAAGTGAATGAAACATTTTAGTCAGTAAAGCTGGAATAAAAAAAAACTAATTCTTTCTGAAAGCTGCGGTAAAAGGAAAAAAAAGCTTTTCTTTTTTTAGTCATAATACAGGAAACTGGACGCCAGCAGAGCAACTCACATCAAAACTGTTTGACCACAAAGTCTCATCATTGAGTACATCAAAGTACATCATTGCAATCAACACAGGAAACATAAACTAACTAAACTAACTATCCAAATGTAAAAGTATATTTACAAAAATCACAAAATTATTATCTTATGCATGAGGAGAAAATGATGCACAAATACAGCCTGTAGTTTATCTTTAATTTAACCCTCAGGTAGTAATGTGAAGGTCTGTGGCTCTTCCGTTGAATCATGTGTTTTTCTATGTATCTAAGGAACAATTCACCCCATAATCACACCTACATACGTTTGGTTTGCAGTGCTGCTTCTGCTTAGATTAGTATGACTAACACATTGATCTAATTCAATAAAATGAAACTAACTTTCAGTCACCTTTCAAGCCTTAAGCAGAGAAAACCAAATATGATTTTGAGGTGAACTGTGCCTTTACATGTTAAGTGAGGGCAGAATGTGTCTCTCACCTTCAGGTTTCCTCTGGACACATCGTCTCACCTGTACAACCAGTACAACCAGCAGCAGCACTCCAATTATGGAGGGAACAAGGGCCAGCACAGCGAGAGGAACAGAGGAGTGCTGAGGAGTAGAGGAAAATGAGGAGGAGAGGGAGGCAGTGGAGGCTGATGGAAGAGGAGAGGTGGAAGAACCTGGAATTAAAGAGAAAAGGGGATCTTTGTGGTCAGTTTGAATTACTTTGGAACTAAACTATGAATAGAAACAGAAGCCTCACCTGTGACAGTGATCCAGCTGGATGGAGACTCTCCATGACCGCTGATGTCACACTTGTAGAGGCCTTCATCAGACCTGGAAACATGCTGGATGGTCATGTGACCTGTAGGCTGCTTCCTGATGAGGGAGCCATCTTTATAGAAAGCAGCTGGGAGGTTGGAGGGAGTGGTCTTTGTTTTACAGAGCAGAGTGACGTCATCTCCCTCCATCACAGGGAGGACAGGACTCTGCAGGATCACTGATCCACCTCAACACAGAGACAAACTACAGCATTTCATCCATTTACACACAGCTTCATCAACACTAACTCCACACACTCAGCTTACCAGTGACTGTCAGGTTAACCATGTTACTGATGGGACCCTCTCTGGACTCACACCAGTAAACTCCACTGTCGCATGGGAGGATGGCACTGATGTTACAAGAAGAACCAGCTGGTTTTCCCCACTTGTCACACTCAGCTCTGGCTTCTTTGCTTGTGTTTCTCCTCAGAGTCCATCCAGCAGAGCTGTCGTCCTCCTCACAGCTCAGAGACACAAAGTCTCCTTTGAGGAATTGAAAGGTGCTGGGACTCACAGTCAGATGAGCTGTGGGAGAATTTATTGTATCTTGAACAAAAACCTTTTTAAAAAATTGTGTATTTGAGGTGAACTGAAGCTTATTCAACAGATAATGCGCACTCTGTGCATGTCATAAACTAAAGCTGGTTGGTAGATGTTGCTGCCTTGATGTAGCTCCTAAGTTCATCATCTGTTTAAAATATCACAAATTATCTCCACAGTAGTCTTTTTTTCTGATTGGCTGCCCTTCTGAAACAGATAGACAGTATGAACAGCAGCATGGACCTTCCTTTGGCTTGAACCTTCTGGTGTTGGTTCTCTATACCACACACAAAATAAGGAACTGACTGTATTTTAGTGATGTTATCTTTAACTAGTCTAAACCACTGATTTTCACTCAAATATTAAACTGAACCACATTTTTTAAAGAATAATTGGAGTTTTACTGGATTTTTAATTTTTGTTGTTTTTAATTCTGAGCTTCCCCTAACACACACATCTGGGACTAATCTGTCTTTTATTGGTCAGAGAGGCTCTTTGGGTCTGCTTAATTGTTGTTTGTGTTATTCTGTCATAAACAGGTTCACTAACCTTGATTTGTTGTGTGGCAGAGCAATGACATTAGAACTGAAAAGAAAGCACAAGATCATGCAGTGTATTTTAGTGAGTTTTTGCTTACAGGAGCAGTGACCACAAACTGAGTCTCAGACTGATGAACTCAAAACAATTCCTTTGAACAGGATGTGAAGATGCAGTTTAACACCTCTGTCAGTGCGCCCCAGGGTGGCTGTGGCTACAATGTAGCTTGCCATCAGTGTGAATGTGTGTGTGAACGGGTGGATGACTGGATGTGCTTTGGGGTCCTTAGGGACTAGTAAAGCGCTATACAAATACAGGCCATTTACCATTTTACCATTTAACACCGTGGTGGTTTACTCAGAATTTCAATGAATTTAAGGAAAGAAACCTCTGAACCTGTTAAAACCTCCTGCTAATGACAGAACCAGCTGAATTGAAACACCTCAGTCACTAGTATTTCTTTTTTCATTGTACTTAAAGTTTCATTTTCTTTTTAAGAGTTTTGTCACTCTTTCCCTCATGGTCATTAACTTCTATACTTAAGTAAATGCAAATATATCTGCTTTATCTCACTGCTGTTCCCATCCAGAATCCCTTCAATGCACATATTAAGATTTTTTTTTTTTTTTTTAAAAAGCATGAGGTACTTACGGAGCAGCCACAGAAGAGGTACTTTTCCCATCGTACCACACAGAGGTGTGAGATCTTTCTGCTTCCCCCCAGGCAGTTAAACCCGCCTCCTTCCTCTTAGCAGCACAATTTAGAGTCTGTGGTTTATTTGTAGCAGGTCAGAAAAACAAGGGGTTATAATCTTTTAGGTTATAAATGAGACGTGAATTGTGAAATTTAATAAAGCTACGAACAAGAAACAATGAAAAATATAGTAGGGTTGGTAACCTGATTATTTTTTAATCATAGAAAAGTGATGTTTAGGGTCCGTCTGTTATATTTAAATAATGATTAAATATTCTAAGGAGCTTGGAAAGAAAAGCGTCTGGACTTCTTTAAGTTACTTGAAGACGTTTCACCTCTCATCCGAGAAGCTTCTTCAGTTCTAAGGGTCCAATTGGTGGGGAGTCCCAGATTTAAACCCAGTGGGAGTTTCCCCCCAAAGAGGGACAAAAGGACCCCCTGATGATCTTCTACCTAATCACATGAGCCAAGGTGTGAAAACAGGTGTGGGTCCCAATCAGCCAGGGTTTGAGCTCATTGTGAAACCTGGCCCCACCTTATCATGTGATTTCCTGAGATCAGATGGCCCAGGATGTGAGTGGGCGTTAAGGCGTCTGGGAAGGGATTTCAAATACAGATGTAGAGGTCTGGGCATTCCTCACTACACTGTACAGAGGAATGCCCAGACCTCTACATTGGAGAGACCAAACAGCCACTTCACAAGCGCATGGCACAACACAGAAGAGCCACCTCCACAGGACAAGACTCAGCAGTCCATCTGCATCTTAAGGATAAAGGACACTCTTTCGAGGATGCCAATGTTCACATTTTGGACAGAGAGGACAGATGGTTTGAAAGAGGAGTGAAAGAAGCCATCTATGTCCACTGTGAGCGACCATCTTTGAACAGAGGCGGGGGTTTACGACACCAACTCTCTGCCATCTATAATCCAGTTTTGATGAAACCCTGGCTGATTGTGACCCACATCCCTTTTCACACCTTGGCTCATGTGATTAGGTAGAGGATCATCAGGGGGTCCTTTGTCCCTCTTTGGGGGGAAACGCCCACTGAGTTTAAATCTGGGACTCTCCACCATTTGACCTTAGAACTGAAGAAGCTTCTCGGATGAGAGGCGAAACGTCTTCAAGCAACTTAAAGAAGTCCAGACGCTTTTCTTTGCAAGCTCCTTTGACTACGATGACCTGGATGACTGAGAACCTTCAGAGACAATGATTAAATAAGATTATTTAAACTAAGGGTCACACAAAGGCTCCTTCCAATTAAAATCACATTTTAATCTTAAAATGTTTCTTATGGAGGAAATCTCCTGTTTCTTTGGATTTCTGAGACACAAACACAAATAATCAGAGTTATAAAACACTTTTAAATTTCATTATTTTTTCTTTGTAACATTTATTTTTAGTTATACCCGTACTTTCTTGGGTATATGCCTCCCTTTTTAGTTCCATATCACAAATAAAATATAGTTTTAACCCCCTGAGAACGTTATTGTGTCAATAAAGTTTAATTGAAAAGAGTGAAATGAGTGAGCATACGCATGTCCGATCTATGCTCCAGTCCATTAGGTGGCGGTAATCCACCTCTAAGCTGCCAAAAGCAGAAGAGTCTGCATTTCATTCATACAGCTGGCGACTGGACTGGAGTCCTGGAGGAGTCTGATGCTGTCGGTCTTGGCTCACAGCTTCTTGTTTTTATTTTTTTTTCCGCTGAAGATGAGCTTTGAGGGTTTTTTCTCTGTGGAGTTTCTATTCTGGCGACTTGAGAGGAAGAGCTGAGCTGCTGCTCGAGGGAAATCCCGAAAACATGACCTGAAAGGAGCGGATCCCCCAAAGAAAGTGACTTGATGAGTGTAACTTAGTTTAATGCTTCAGACACGGGCTACTTTCAGCTGCTTCCAAAGTCAAAATTTCCTTTTTTTACGTGCACCTGTATGCAGCACCACATCATGGCAGCAGCATGTTGCGTGTTTGTTATTTCGCTCTGTTTCCAGTTTAAAACAGCTGTAGCTTTTCTACTGTGAGCCAACGCGTTGTTCACTGTAGGTAAAGCCTGCTGTAACGACTGATGATCAGGACTGTCAGAGAGTCTATTCAGAGTGGGAGGTTCTGTTTATGTGGTGTGTTCAAGAGTTTCGGGTTAACACGAATCTGGGAGAGTCGCCGTTACATCCGTTATTTGTTGTCTTGTTGACTGAAATCGCAGACACAGAGTTCCAGTGGCGCAAAATGTCTGCAGGAACTTCCCGGTGTCAGAACATCTGAAACATGTTTTATGTTTGGTTCGCATTTTGTTTGACCCTCACAGCTCGGATTGTGACCGAAGTCCATTCCTCCTGTCTGATCTTCGCGTAATTCGGACTGTGGGGCAGCGAGTAACCTTGATGTTTGCAGTTTCCGAGCTGTAGCGCTCAGCTGCAAAAACGACAGCGCCGATCAAGCAGCGCATTTAATGGCTCATAATCTGTCACGTGTCGAACACGTCACCCACCCCCACCCAAAAAAGGAAAACAAAAACACTTATTCGTTGCCAAAATAAACATCAGCTGTTCAGTTTTTCCTCACAAATGTTGTCCGCTGCGGTTTTCCTGTGTTTGCTGGTCATCCTGGTTTCCGGATTAAAAGGTGAGTCACGGTTCTTGGAGACAGGAAGAGGAAAAAAATGTAAACATTAGCGTCATCGTGTGTTTACAAGTTAAAACGAACTGCTGGTGTGTTTTGGTCTAAACGGGAAACTTTTCAGCGAGTTATTATAGGAAGTAAGTCCGTTGTGAAAACGGGAAGCTAAACAGTTACCCCCCTGTCTTTGCAGCGGCCTAGAGGACATGTGACGCAGATGTCGTAGTTACAGTTTCATTTGGGAGTGTTGCACAACATAGGGTTATTTTGCGCTATTTAACATGACCACACGTACAACCCAGTCAGACAATCATCGGGTTTTTGGTTGGGGGTGGTACTGCTCTGGCATCGATGCTTTAGCTTATCTTATCTATCTCTAGTTTTATTTAACAATAGAGGGTTAGTCTGTTCTGGTAAACACCTGCGCTCTGACATCTGCCAGGCACATTGTGGACCCTGCTCCGTGTGGGGTGCTTTCCTGAATAAGTCGGAATTGGGGTGATTTCTATTTTTACAGTGGGGGGAAAAAAGCTGTACATGAGCTGTGTCTATCATTGTTTCACAATGTTTTATAACAACTGGAGTAAAATTCAGAGTTTAACAGACAAAAACAAATTCTGTCCCATGTTCTTTGATGTACTCTGTGGACATTCAAACAACATGCTGGCACAAGTCGCAAAAATTTTGAGGCTTGCAGAGGAGCAGGTGATCATTACATTAATACTAAAACACACTGATGCTCTTTTAGATTTCTTCATTTCAGTACTCCCTGCAGTCCAAACGGTTCCTGTCAGAAGTCTCTGGATGGGCCCGTCTTCTGGAAGAGCAAACTATAGAGAGGAAGTCCAACCAGTTCTTCAGCATAGCATGTCTGACAGATGTGCAGTCTTAAACATGACTAATTTTGTTGTCTTTTATCTTTGTGTTTCTATCACACAGAGCTCATTGTGAATCCTGGACAAGATGCCCCTCTTCAGTGTCAGGGTTCCAGAGATGCAGAGATCACCCTGTTGGAGTGGAACAGAGCTGACCTCAAATCAGATGATTATGTCTTCTTGTACAGAAACCAGCGCCCATATGAAAACTACCAACATGAGTCCTTCAAAGGCCGAGTGAACCTGATGGATCCGTCCATGAAGGATGGAAATGTTTCAGTGACGCTGAGGAACGTCAAGCTCACCGATACAGGAACGTACAAGTGTCAGATTACAACCAAGGAAACAGAAAGTGTCACCCATGAGTGCTCCATCAGCCTCAAAGTCACAACCTCAGGTAAGTTTGTAGAGGTGGAACTTGGTGTTTATAAGTCTTCTCACTGTGGGATGTCTGAGCATCAAAGGTTCTTTCATTCAGGACAAAGTCCGTTGGTTTGTTTGTCTTTAGGCTCATGTTTGTCTCTGTTACCAAAAACAAATGTATGAGATGAAAAGTGGCGTCAGTCATCAATTAATGCCGATGCAGGAGTCTGAGAGAGAAACTAGAAATGATAACCTCTGCAGTGAGTGCGCTCTAACCCTAATTAATTCTTTATTTCACTTCTTCTTCTGCTGGATGTGTTTATGGGTGAAAATGGTGTGAAAAGCTGAGATTCTAGTTCTTAACCAAATGCCTGCACACAATGTCATTACTGCTTTTCTGACATCCGGGTGACTGCTGAAAGGTGTGACATCACTTCTGCTGAAAACAGGAATGGTTTTCCTGGTAGCTCAGTTCTCACACCTGTTTCTGCTCTGCTGGTTTTACAGATAAACACACCAAGGAGTCCCAGGCTGAGTCCAAGGATGGAGGAGAGAGGGATACGTGTCTGTCTGTCATCATCCCTGTCCTGTCAGTTTTTGCTTATTACTGATATTATGTAATTGCCCGCAGAACCTGAAAAATGTGTCCGATCTCTTTACTGACAGTGAGTTCTGCTCTTCAACAAAGACGAATCTTTCAATAGGATCTGATTCTGTTAGAGCTTCATGCAGCGCATTGACAACCTCACCAATCATTACAGTTAAATCAGTCAATGTTAGATCAGTGCTGTCCCATTGTGGCTGTAAAAGGCTTTGAGTTTAACCCTGGGTTTTATGTACTTGTAGCTTTATTGTTTGAAGCCTACAGCAGAGCTTGGCTTTTCTCTGGGAACAGGCAGCAGGTGGAGGAGCAGCTGGTATGCTGGTTGAGTCTTTCCAAAAGAAAAAATCAATCTATCCTTTTTCTTTAGCTTATCTGGAGTGGGTTATGGGAGCCCCAGCCTGAGCAGAGAAGGCTAGACCTCCTTCTCACCAGCCACTTCCTCCAGGTTGTCCTGGAGCCTCCTCTCAGTGGAAAAAATGAAACGAGTAGGTGTTGTTTTTGTTTGGGTGGGGGGGCTGCTTTGAGAAAGACCAACAGAATCAGCATTAACATGTAATATAAGCTATATATCCCAGCGCATGTGGGCAGAGGTGGAGGCATGCAGTGCATCTATTGTAGCAAGGCTTGGAACATCTTAGATCCAAAGTATACTACTGAATAAGCTCCTTATTACCTTCTTTAAGCACTTTGTTTTGCACTTTAAAAAAATATTTGTTTTTTAACCAACTGCAGGCACTTTCCTCCTTTTTGCTGAGACCGTATCAGTGGTTTCCATTCAGATGACCTCACATTTAAGATCACTGGCTCAGGCATCCCTGGACTGTTTTCAGCACAGCTGCAGTTTTAAGATCTCAGCAGACATCCTATTATGTCCTCTTGTACTTGTGTCTCTGTGATCAATCGTCTTAAATGAGTCAGAACTGGGACCTTTCAAATCATTTTCACTTTTGGGAAGTGGACAACGTCACGGGGAGGCTAGTGTGGTGAATAGGGTGGTGATCAAAGATTTCACTCAGACTTTAATGTACAGAGAGGGTCAGACACCTCCTACAATTTGTGTTTAAGACTGACTTGAATTTCATTCCTGAGCAGTTTTCTGATGAAGACATTCAAAGACTGGTGGCAGGTCTAAAAACAGCAGCTGCACCTAAAACAGTCCAGAGGTTTCTGATTTTTTATTAATCTGTTCTTTGGTTTATAAAGAATGTACTTTTATTATATATGTGTATTAAAGTTATCTGTTAGTCAGTGTTAGGGGACCATGATCAGCCGTTACCATTGTTTATCGTGCTTCAGTTTGTTTAATGCGCAGCATATAATCCTGACAAATATACAACACATTGACTCATCACTGAGTGATGAGTCAAATACATTTTAAATAAGCAATTCATATAATGGAAATCTATCAGTGCAATGATTGGATAAAATCTGTTGAAGAAACTGAGCAGGAGTTTACTCCACATCAGGAGGAAACAAGACTCTGTGTGTTTGTACATGTCAGATGGATGACATACATAAGCTATAAAGTGTTGTGATTACGTCATTATTAAAATTCGCAGTGTTCCTTGTTTTCTTTGTTTTATATTAACCGTTTGTGTGAATGTTCTGACTACACACATCTGACTTCATCTAGAAGGCTGAAGGATGTGTATGGTGGTTTTCATGTGAGGCCTTTTATTTTGTCTCTGAAGTAGTAAGTGGGGGCAGGCCCCATGATTGGAAGGTCGGGGGTTCGAATCCTCTGAACGGCTACCCTGAGGTACCCTGAGCAAGGTACCGTCCCTACACACTGCTCCCTGGGCGCCAATGGCTGCCCACTGCTTCCCACTGTCTGTTTAATATCTTTTTAAAATAATGTTAAATCTTATTTTGGGTCAAAGTCAGAAAACATTTAAAACACGTCATGTCAGATTTGACTGCTGATTCTATGCGTGCATATTTTATGCCCTGGTGACCATAAACATTAAAGGAGGTGTAGATGATGCTTCACAAATAACGACCAGTGTTTCCTGATGGCTGCAGAGCATGGTGATATGCTGTCGTCCTGCAGCTGCGGTGCCAGAGATGAGTCCATCCTGTGGAGATGAAAGCTTAGTTTAACTTTGTCGTGTTGCAAATCACATCAAGTTTCACCTGGATGAGAAAACAGTCTTGGAGTCATAACTGGTTATGGTGATCTTGGACTAGTTATTTTTCCTCCCACCTCCTTAGATCACCATGACCTGCATGACTGAAAACCTACAGAGACTTGGTTATTGTTTTTATTGATGTTTTTGACTCACTGTCAGTGGATCATGAGTTCTGTTTAAAGGATCAAGGGTCAACACTCCCTCCTCACATCCAGCTGTGGCCCTGCCACCCTCAGAGCTCTGTGCAGACCCCAATTTAAAAATAAATTGTCCCTAAATGTCTGTTTTCATCCGTCCTTTTAACAGGAGCTGTTTTAAAATTTTCTTCCTTTTAGCTCAAAGTGGTAAATCTGTACCTAAGATGCATGCAGCTCTTGGACACTTTGTGTCAACAACTAGAAGCCTTTGGTGAAACTTACAGACTAGCCCGTCCTTACTTTCACAGGAAGTCGGAGCTGATCATGTTTTTTTTTTTTCTCTGTAATTTTCCAGGATCACATCGGAACCCACAAAAGTCTCTGTGTGGCTAAAACAAAATAAGACTGTTTGTATCACAGTAAACTAGACATATAGACACTATTACTGACCATTACTGACAAAATGATTCGAAAACTGTGGACATCGGTTTCTGTTTTACATGCTTTCTGTGTCTGTTTATCTCTCCATCAGAAAATGTTTCACTCATCTCCACAGTTTTTAAGTCTCGAGCAGCAGAACAGCTGCACGCCTTGAACATCTGTTTTCTCCCCCTGAGACTTAAAATATGAGCAAAGAAATAGGCCGTGAAAGGAGGACTGATGGTGGAGTGGCTGTGATCATCAAGTGTTTTTGAGGAGAAAGAAGATGTGCTGCCACCTGCTGGCTGTACTTTGTAACTGAAATTGTGATAAAACGATGACATAGATCATTTCTTTAGGTTTAACTTTGATTTGATATATAATGCCCCCCCCCCCCCTTCTGTTATATTTTGAAGATTAGTCTCCTGTTGTGTTTCTGTTTACTGCATTTACTATTTCATTCCTCACCCAAAACCACTGTGAGCCTTTCATGCTGAAGGATGTCTTGATTCTTAAAATGCATCGTGAGGATTGCGAAGCTCCAGGAGGAGCTGTAATTTTGTTTATATTGTTTAAAGGTCTTGTAATTACTGAGAATATTTTATTATATGATTATATTATGATCTAAATATTTAAATCATATATGAATGTATTGTTTGTAGCATATATGCATGAAGATCACTGGACTGTAATAATTTATAATGTACATGTGAAGCTGAATTGTTTTGTGTCTGCAACAGTGTGTAACTTGAGTGATGCAACAGTAAATATAAATATTACTTTGTCTTTTGTAATTATTTATAATGTGTATATCCTTTATTTCTCCCTCTTCTTAAAGTATGTCTTCAATGCAGCCATTGTCTACTAATATGTGTAAGATTGTGACTGCAGCTGGTTTCAAAGACTTCTTCTTCTTTGTCTTCATCAGGTTAGGAAACAATCTTACTTGTTGAATCTGAGCTGTGGTGAAGGTGCGTCAGTCAGCTTCAGTGAGGAGTAGATGACTGTTGTCTCTAATGAAACGTCTGAACACAAACACATAATAAAGAAGTTTAGATGTCAGGACGTAAACATGGGAAGAGTAGTGCAACGGCTCTGTTTATCACAGAGAAGACACAGAGGAGCAACTGGTTAGTCTACTGTCCTACCTTCACTATGACAGGTTGAGGAGCTCGCTCATTCAAGAGGGAGTCGGAGTGTATAGGCTCAAATTGTGGGAATAATATTTTGGACTTGCGTATTTGAGCCCATAGGAGTAGACCACTGCTCCTCCACATTAAAAGGAGACAGTTATGGTGGCTCTGGCATCTGACTAGGATGTCTCCTAGATTATGTTTTTCTCTGCATGCTTGGGAATGACTCTGTTTCCCCAGATGAGCTAGAAGAGTTGATCAGGGTGACTCTGGACTTCTCTGCTCACACTGCTGCCACCAAAACCTGAATTCAAACAAGTGTAAGAACATGGATGGATGGATATTTGAAGAATAACCTGCAGCTGGATCACTCTCAGTCATACCACGTCATGTGACTGATACAAAACTTCTGTTTTAGGATGAAATGTTGGGCTTTATAGATTAGAGCTGCAAACATTACGCCACAGCTCATCCACTCTTTAACCTGAAGTGACTGTAACACCTATTGCTATATTAACTGGCAGGAGGGGGTCAGTCTAAGAGAGACATGTGGCACTCAGAAAACCCTGAATTCAAATCTATGGCAGACAGCAACAGTAAAGATGGTTGCAGAGGCTGAAATCCCATGTGTGAAAAAGGGTTTTTAAAACTTATTTTGGGGCAAAGTCAGCAAACGTTAAAAAAAGCTTGATGTCAGATTTGACTGCTGATTCTGTACATGCAGTGTTTATGTCCTGGTGACCATTCAAATAAAAGACAGTGCAGATAATGCTTCATAAAGATTTACCAGTGCAGCATTTCATGATGGCTGCAGAGTGATCGGATCTGCTTCTAGAAGGAATCTCCTGTGTGACGCCAAACTGGATTAGGTTTAAATAACTCATCCTTTTTATTTATATGTTCCAGCTCTTCAATCCTCTCCATCATTGACTGTTTCACTATGTTTGTGAGATTTATTTTTCATAAGTCAATGTTAATTTATTTATTTATTGAGCATTTAGATTTTTGTTTATAATCTTTAAGGGCTTGTTATTAATGAGAAAATGTTATTATATGAATATATTATTATCTAAATATTTAAATACTTACATGAATGGGTTATTTGGGCCACATATGCATGAAGATCACTGGACTGTAATAATTTATAATGTTTAAGTGAAGCTGAAATTGCTTTGTGCCTGTAACAGTGCATAACATGAGTGATGCAACAGCAAATATAAATATTACTTTGCCTTTTGTAATTATTTATAATGTGTCTCTCATGCATGTGACAGAGCTGCAGGCATCAGATGAATGACAAACACTTTAACATTGTTTATTCAATTATATGTCACATTTAACATTACAAAAAGAACAAGTAAACTATGAGTAAACTTTCACTTAACTGTAACAGCCATTCTGTGTCTGTGTCAGGGAAACATTAAATTCAGTGGTGGTTCCCTTCAAGGTGTGTATGTTTTTTTTTATTTGTCACAAAATTTTACACCAAATTTACATCAAACCTTCAGCTTCCATCATTTAACCCTTGCCTTTGCTCTCACTCACTTCCTCCAGTTGTTGCCTAGCTACTTCCCCCTGACACCACCTTGCAATCTCTTTCAGATTATACCCTCAGCATAAAATATTAAAATATAAAATAAAATGCAGCCATTGCCATTTCTCTATTAATATGTGTAAGACTGCGACTGCAGCTGGTTTCAAAGACGTCTTCTTCTTCTTTGTCTTCTTCAAGTGAGGAAACAATCTTACTTTCTGAATCTGAGCTGTGGTGAAGGTGTGTGGGTCAGCTTCAGTGAGGAGTAGATGACTGTTGTCTCTAATGAAACGTCTGAACACAAACACAGAATAAAGAAGTTTAGCTGTCAGGATGTAAACATGAGAAAAGAACTGCAAACATTCAAACATGAGGCCACAGCACATTAACTTAGAGCGACTTTTACACCTCTGCTGAGTTTAGTTCTCAAAACAGGAAACGTAGTGACCACAGAGCTGCTCATGTTACCGTTTACCAAAGGTTAATTGTTGTCTTCGTGCGGTACACAGAAAACATGAACGTTTCGGCTCACTAACAGCCAAACTTCAGGAGTTTGCAGTTAAAATGATCAGAGTGCTGTTAACACTCTCTTCACCCTGTTCCCTACTCTCACTACAGATCACCATGTCATCTGCAACATTATAATCCACAGAGACTGCTGCCTGAGCTCATTTGTCAACCTGTCCCATCACCACTGCACTGCACCACAGTTCCTCTCTCAGGACTATCATCTGTTTTCTCCAGATACACAAAGACACAGTGAAGCTGCTGCTGAAGTTCTCTGCACTTGGTTGCACTTCTCCATCAACACTCTTAAACATCACATCTGAAGAGCTCTTTCTCTGCAAGGAGCCACACTGCTGCTCACTGATCGTCACTTCTCTTTGTAACCTTGCTTCAGTGACTCTTTGCCTTAGCTTCATGGTAAAACTTATCAGTGGAAACAGCAGAGGAGCTTTAAGAAATTTAGAGATTTTCTAACAGGAAACTTGTCGTACCTCTTCTCCTGATTGATCCGTCTCGGCCGTCTGCTGATGTTCTTCTCACTGATGAGGAGGTGGCAGCTGCTGCAGGATCTCTGTCTGCAAAATCAAATGTAAATGTTTCCTAAATATAACAGAACTGTTACTGTTTCATGATTTGTGTTATTAATCTTTCTAAGAATATCCATGTATGATTTTCTATCAACATAAATGAAATAAAGATTGTGAGTCATAAAACAGAAAGCTTCTGTTCACATCAACATTATTTGACCACAAAGTCGTGTGTGTCATGTGACTGTTTTTAAAGGAACAGTTTAATAATCACACCTACATGTGTTTGGTCTGTAGTGCTGTTTGTCCGCTTAGATTAATGTGAACTGGTCACAGTTGAAGATATCTGATTCATTTTTCAGGTGAACTGTCCCTTTAAGTCTTCAATATGTTCACATTAAGTTTGAGCAGAATGTGTGTCTCACCTTCAGGTTTCCTTTGGACACGTCTTTTCACCAGTACAACCAGTACAAGCAGTAGCAGCCCAAATATGGAGGGAACAGAAACCATCACAGAGAGAGGAGGAGAGGACTGGTGAGGAGGAGGAGGAGGAAGAGGAGGAGGAAGAGGAAGAGAGGTGGAAGACCCTGGAATTAAAGAGAAAAATGAATCTTTGTGGTCAATTTGTGTTGCTTTGGATTTAAGGTCTGCAAAATAAACAGAAGCCTCACCTGTGACAGTGATCCAGCTGGATGGAGACTCTCCATGACCGCTGATGTCACACTTGTAGAGGCCTTCATCAGACCTGGAAACATGCTGGATGGTCATGTGACCTGTAGGCTGCTTCCTGATGAGGGAGCCATCTTTATAGAAAGCAGCTGTGAGGTTGGAGGGAGTGGTCTTTGTTTTACAGAGCAGAGTGACGTCATCTCCCTCCATCACAGGGAGGACAGGACTCTGCAGGATCACTGATCCACCTCAACACAGAGACAAACTACAGCATTTCATCCATTTACACACAGCTTCATCAACACTAACTCCACACACTCAGCTTACCAGTGACTGTCAGGTTAACCATGTTACTGATGGGACCCTCTCTGGACTCACACCAGTAAACTCCACTGTCCTGTGGGATGATGAAGCTGATGTTACAGGAAGAACCAGCTGGTTGTCCCCACTCCTCACACTCAGCTCTGGTGTGTGTGCTTGTGTTTCTCCTCAGAGTCCAGCCAGCAGAGCTGTCGTCCTCCTCACAGCTCAGAGACACAAAGTCATATTTAAAGAACTGAGAGCTGCTGGGACTCACAGTCAGACGAGCTGTGGGAGAATTTATTGTATCTTGAACAAAAAAGTAAAAATAAAATTAGTGTTTGAGGTGACCTGAAGTTTATTCAACAGATCGTGCCAGAACACTGCATAAAATAAAGCTGGTTGGTTGATTTTGCTGCCTTGACGTAGCTGCTAAGTTCATTATTTGTTTAAGACTATCTCCTCCGCACTCTTCTTCTGATTGGCTGCCCTTCTGAAACAGACAGACAGCATGAACGTTTCTTTGGTTTGAACCTTCTGGTGTTGGTTCTCTGTACGCACACATAACATAAGGAAATGACTGTATTTTACTGCTGTAATGTTTAACTGATCTAAACCACTGATTGCACTATTTTCACTAAAATATTAAACTGAACCACATTTTTTTAATGATTGACGTTTTACTGGATTTTTAATTTTTGTTGTTTTTAATTCTGAGCTTCCCCTAACACACACATCTGGGACTAATCTGTCTATTATTGGTCAGAGATGCTCTTTGGGTCTGCTTAATTGTTCTTTGTGTTATTCTGTCATAAACAGGTTCACTAACCTTGATTTGTTGTGTGGCAGAATAGAAACATTAGAACTGAAAAGAAAGCACAAGATCATGCAGTGTCTTTTAGTGAGTTTTTGCTTACAGGAGCAGTGACCACAAACTGAGTCTCAGACTGATGAACACAAAACAATTCCTTTGAACAGGATGTGATGATGCAGTTTAAGACTGAGGTGGTTTACTCAGAATTTTGAATGAATTTAGTGAAAGAAAACTCTGAACCTGTTAAAACCTTCTGCTAATGACAGAACCAGCTGAAATGGTAAATGGTAAAGCTAAATGCACATATTAAGATTTAAAAAGAGCATGAGGTACTTACGGAGCAGCCACAGATGAGGTGCTTTCCCCATCGTACCACACAGAGGTGTGAGATCTTTCAGTTAAAACCGCCTCCTTCCTCTCAGTAGCACAATTTAGAGTCAAGTAGGTGGCGGACCTCTATGGTCTGTTGGTCTGACCATGTGCCTTCCCCGCCCAAACTGTTGTTGCTTGGTTTTTCCACACAAATGTGTATATTTCGGTATATGTATATAGGTGTATATTACAAAATGTGAAGGAGACGTGGCCACAGCTGGAACATATAAATCATGGAGGGAGGACGACTCTTTAAATAACTCATCCTTTTTATTTATATGTTCCAGTTCTTCAATCCTCTCCATCATTGACTGTTTCACTATGTTTGTGAGATTTATTTTTCATAAGTCAATGTTAATTTATTCATTTATTGAGCATTTAGATTTTTGTTTATAATCTTTAAGGGCTTGTAATTAATGAGAAAATGTTATTATCTGAATATATTATTATCTAAATATTTAAATACTTACATGAATGGGTTATTTGGGCCATATATGCATGAAGATCACTGGACTGTAATAATTTATAATGTATATCTCATGCATGTGACAGAGCTGCAGGCATCAGAATGAATGACAAACACTTTAACTTTAACAACAACTTTCACTTAACTGTAACAGCCATTCTGTGTCTGTATCAGGGAAACATTAATTTCAGTGGTGGTTCCCTTCAAGGTGTGTATGTTTTTTTATTAATCACAAAATTTTACACCAAATTTACATCAAACCTTCAGCTTCCACCATTTAACCCTTTAAGACCTACCATAGAACCAAGTCTGCCAGAGCTTATATTATATTTTTACATGCTGTGGAGCCATTTTTGGGAGCATTTCAAGTTGATATACATCAATACAACCATTATATCCCAGATTCTAATAATATGTCTGCATTAAGTGGATAGTAATTACATAAATTGCAAAAAAGTGCAATAAACTACAAAAAAAAATTGAAAATCGTTTTTGTTTTGTTTTTTAACATATATTTCTAGTTAGAGAAATTTAAGAGGCTTATCCCTCAAAACTGTAAATTCAAAAAAGTTGCACAAAATAGTTTCCCACCACAGGAAATGTATTTTGAGTGTCTTCGTAGTTTTATTTTTGAAATACACCAATTTTTATATACTGCAGGGAAAACGAAAATAAATATTATAGTGCAAATTTGCAAAATAACAGCATATGCATCAAAATAAACTACTTCCAGCAGTGCAATATGAGTCCTAAGCATCCCAGAAACGACACAGAAAGTCATAAAGTCAAACATAACTTTTAAAAACACCAGTATAGGCTCATGAGTCCCTGATGGTAAAAAACTACATTTCCGCGAAAATGATGTCACTTCCGGTTTCGGGCAGGTCATGGCGGACATGCGAAAGTTTGCGCTGACGTCTATTCCAATGTAGGAAGTGTTATGAACAGCTGATGGATCGGCAAAGCGTGTTTCTGGAATATTATGTTTTTGTTCCTGCAAGTGCTTTTTATGCAGTTTTTGCAAAGCTATATGTGGAAGGAAACTGTGACCTAGGACAAGCTGATGGCATAAGATGTAAGTACAACTCCTCCGGTTTCATTTGCAAAAAAAAATTATTGCGCTAGCTTATGTGGTTGCAGAGCTACCAGGATTTAAAAATAAGAACGCAAAACAGAGCGTGTCCGCTCCGACCGGTTTTAAAGGGTTAATCCTTGCCTTTGCTTTCACTCACTTCCTCCAATTGTTGCCTAGCTACTTCCCCCTGACACCACCTTGCAATCTCTTTCAGATTATACCCTCAGCATAAAATATTAAAATATAAAATAAAATGCAGCCATTGCCATTTCTCTATTAATATGTGTAAGACTGCGACTGCAGCTGGTTTCAAAGACGTCTTCTTCTTCTTTGTCTTCTTCAAGTGAGGAAACAATCTTACTTTCTGAATCTGAGCTGTGGTGAAGGTGTGTGGGTCAGCTTCAGTGAGGAGTAGATGACTGTTGTCTCTAATGAAACATCTGAAACAAACACAGAATAAAGAAGTTTAGCTGTCAGGATGTAAACATGAGAAAAGAACTGCAAGCATTCAAACATGAGGCCACAGCACATTAACTTAGAGCGACTTTTACACCTCTGCTGAGTTTAGTTCTCAAAACAGGAAACGTAGTGACCACAGAGCTGCTCATGTTACCGTTTACCAAAGGTTAATTGTTGTCTTCGTGCGGTACACAGAAAACATGAACGTTTCGGCTCACTAACAGCCAAACTTCAGGAGTTTGCAGTTAAAATGATCAGAGTGCTGTTAACACTCTCTTCACCCTGTTCCCTACTCTCACTACAGATCACCATGTCATCTGCAACATTATAATCCACAGAGACTGCTGCCTGAGCTCATTTGTCAACCTGTCCATCACCACTGCACTGCACCACAGTTCCTCTCTCAGGACTATCATCTGTTTTCTCCAGATACACAAAGACACAGTGAAGCTGCTGCTGAAGTTCTCTGCACTTGGTTGCACTTCTCCATCAACACTCTTAAAGAAAACATCACATCTGAAGAGCTCTTTGTCTGCAAGAAGCCACACTGCTGCTCACTGATCGTCACTTCTCTTTGTAACCTTGCTTCAGTGACTCTTTGCCTTAGCTTCATGGTAAAACTTATCAGTGGAAACAGCAGAGGAGCTTTAAGAAATGTAGAGACTTTCTAACAGGAAACTTGTCGTACCTCTTCTCCTGATTGATCCGTCTCGGCCGTCTGCTGATGTTCTTCTCACTGATGAGGAGGTGGCAGCTGCTGCAGGATCTCTGTCTGCAAAATCAAATGTAAATGTTTCCTAAATATAACAGAACTGTTGCTGTTTCATGATTTGTGTTTCTAAGAATATCCATGTATGATTTTCTATCAACATAAATGAAATAAAGATTGTGAGTCATAAAACAGAAAGCTTCTGTTCACATCAACATTATTTGACCACAAAGTCGTGTGTGTCACGTGACTGTTTTTAAAGGACCAGTTTAATAATCACACCTACATGTGTTTGGTCTGTAGTGCTGTTTGTCCGCTTAGATTAATGTGAACTGGTCACAGCTGAAGATATCTGATTCATTTTTCAGGTGAACTGTCCCTTTAAGTCTTCAATATGTTCACATTAAGTTTGAGCAGAATGTGTGTCTCACCTTCAGGTTTCCTTTGGACACGTCTTTTCACCAGTACAACCAGTACAAGCAGCAGCAGCCCAAATATGGAGGGAACAGAAACCAGCACAGAGAGAGGAGAAGAGGACTGGTGAGGAGGAGGAGGAGGAGAAAGAGGAGGAGGAGGAGGAGGAGAGGTGGAAGACCCTGGAATTAAAGAGAAAAATGAATCTTTGTGGTCAATTTATGTCGCTTTGGATTTAAGGTCTGTAAAAGAAACTGAAGCCTCACCTGTGACAGTGATCCAGCTGGATGGAGACTCTCCATGACTACTGATGTCACACTTGTAGAGGCCTTCATCAGACCTGGAAACATGCTGGATGGTCATGTGACCTGTAGGCTCCTCCCTGATGAGGGAGCCATCTTTATAGAAAGCAGCTGGGAGGTTGGAGGGAGTGGTCTCTGTTTTACAGAGCAGAGTGACGTCATCTCCCTCCATCACAGGGAGGACAGGACTCTGCAGGATCACTGATCCACCTCAACACAGAGACAAACTACAGCATTTCATCCATTTACACACAGCTTCATCAACACTAACTCCACACACTCAGCTTACCAGTGACTGTCAGGTTAACCATGTTACTGATGGGACCCTCTCTGGACTCACACCAGTAAACTCCACTGTCCCCTTCCACTGTCCCGAGGAAGCATGAAGAATCATCATATCTTACATACCAGTCTCCACACAGAGACCTCTGTTGTTTGCTTGTGTTTCTCCTCAGAGTCCATCCAGCAGAGCTGTCGTCCTCCTCACAGCTCAGAAACACAAAGTCTCCTTCAAAGAACTGAGAGCTGCTGGGACTCACAGTCAGACGAGCTGTGAGAGAAATTATATTTTTGAGCAAAAACATTAAACCCTTTCATGCATGATTTCTGACAACCTCAATCGGGATTTTTTTGTTAAGTATTTTTATTCATCTTTAGGCATGAAAAAAAGATTTCTCAACTTAATTTGTTAAACATGTACTTTCCAAAGAGTTTTTTTTTTTTTTACATGTGGTGGACAACATACATTTTGACTCATGAATTTGAAAGACAAATAAATATTATATACAGTGTAAAAACTATAAAATATCAAAAATATTTTTAAACTTTTGTTGTTTTTAAACTTATGTGGTAACACTGCTTCTGTTGCTGTCCAGTGCAATGAGCCTCCCTCCTCTCTATGCATCAGTAGTGGTTTATGTGCAACTTTACCATCAACACTGACACACATACAAGAAAACAGCCTTTGAATAGCTGCCCACTGTAGTGACCACTATGCATGAACGGGTTAAATAAAATAAGTCTCAACAAAGTAAGTTTGTTACAAAGATCTTTCTTGGTGTGTGTAGCGACTTCCACGGTCGCTAGAGGCCAGAGATGGAGCCTGCCTCTTTGCCTGACGCACTGTCAACTTTATGCTATAATGCGAAAGGTGGAATTGTTTGCTCAAAGTGCTTTGAGAGTTTACAGAGTAATGTGATCAGCTCGCGATTAAGACTCTTAACATCACAGGCTCTAATGCAACAAAGGGAAACTCGTTGTGCAACAGTCAACAAAAACTACGGCTACCCAGCCCTCTCTGTCAAAATCAAACCAGTGAATGACAGACGCCCTCTTAATGTCACCACTAGCACCCACCAAACAAACAAATGAAAACCCATTGATCATCAAAAATTCAATACATTTAGTTATGGCTGCTACAGTGTGTTTGGGCTGCAGAATGAAGGTGAAGAGCAGAGCAGCTTGTTCAGTAGATGTTAAAACATCACACATAACATAAAATAAAGAAAATTTTAATGTTTTTCTTCAGTCCATCAGCTCATGCAACAGCTCACTGTTCTGACCTCCATCTCAAATATGCTAAATTTTCTCCTCCTCCTTTGCTCCGCCTTTCTTCTGATTGGCTGCCCCTCAGAAGCAGAAGGTGTGAAAAGCAGCAGCCTGGAGCTGTCGGTTCTCTGTATGCACACTCTTACTATAAAATAAGGAACTGCTTCAGCTGAGGTGTCATCTTTAACTGCTTTAAACCATTAATGTTGTTAATACATTTTTATACAAATATTGAACTGACCCACGCATTTCTTTTGTTCAGTTTTACTGCATTTACTTTGATTTCTTCAAGAAATTGATCAAATCGGTTCAAATTACCATACCACAGGATCTGGTTCTAACCTGTCTCTATTCCGGCTCCATTTTTGCTCCTCATGGCTCTGTTCTGTGCTGGGAAAGGCCTGTTTTATGGTCTTGTCACAGGACAGGATCACTTACCTTGATTTGTTGTGCAGCAGAGGAGAAACATTAGAACTGAAAAGAAAACAAAAGATCATAAAAATTCAGTGTTAATAACAAATATAAGCTCACAGGAACAGTGACCACGAACTGAGCCTCAGACCGATAAACTCAAAATGTTTTCTTTGAACAGGATGTGGTGATGCAGTTTAACACTGTGGTGGTTTATCTGCAGCATCGACCACACACTGAATTTTTAATGAAGTGAAACTTTGAGCTGAATTAAAGCACCTCAGATAGTCAGGAGTACTTATTAGTTCCCGTTTTAGTGAGAAGCCACAAGTCTTCCTCTTTACATTTTTATCTCCTCGACATTTTTTCTTTGGACATTTCTTTCTACATGGTCATTAACAGTAATTGATTTAAATAAAATATATCTTGCTTTATCTCATCTTATCTTCAATAAACATAAAAACATAAAATTTTAAGAAAGCATGTGGTACTTACAGAGCAGCCACAGAAGACGTGTTTGTCCCATCGTGGCACACAGAGGTGTGAAATCTTTTCGTTCAATGCAACAGTTAAACCCTCCTCCTTCCTCTCAGTAGCTCAGTGTAGAGGGTCTGTGGTTTTCTGCAGCAGTTCTTTAGAAAAATCTCTCTGACCTTTTAGTTTTAAGCTGAGCTGTGAATCATGTGATGTATTGCAGTGATGAAGAAGAAAGAATTCAAAATGTCAGGAAGGTTGGTCACCTGATTTTATTTCATTACTCACAGAAAACTGATGTTTAGCGTATGTGTTCTTTTTCTTTCTTTTTTTTTAAATATATCTCCTCTTGATTGAGCCTTTATTTAGGGTCAGGTCATCTGTTGTCCTTTGTTCCACGTTTCCATGTTTCAGACTGTGACAGAACGACCCTGTTGAACCAAGCAGACATTTATTTCAGTGACTTTTTTTAAATTTAAGATTCTTGTTACGTAACTTTGGAGACGTTCGATTATTTCCTGTGTAGGAAATCAGGAGGAGGAGACGGAGGCTTTTTGGGCTCTAGTGATGGGATTTCCGGCTCTTTTTAGAGAACCGGCTCTTTCGGCTCCAAACCGGCTCTTCAGGTTGTTTTGTTGCTTTAATAAACAATAATATAAAATTATGCACAAAAGGAATTACTAATGTAAAAAAGAGTGGTTTTATTTATATATTTTTATATTTAAATATATACGGTGGCCCCTACAGACAACGTACGTACAAACTCCAAAAAGCACATTTCTAGTGTTAACTGAACTTCCAAAGCAGAGCTACTAGATCACTTAAATTACACAATTGAAAGCATATGTGTATTTATACACAAGCACTCATATATATTCAAATAATTAAATAAAATTAATTTACCTGTTACTACACCAAATCCGGTCGTTGGTACTTCCTGGCTTGTGTAGCCGCTAGGTAACAAAGCTCAACACTGCCCCTAGCATCCTGGAGCACTTCTGTTGTGTTTTGTACGTGTTTTGGAGTTCGTACATGATTTGAAGTTTGTACGTGCTTTGTCTCTAGGGACCACCGTAAATATACTTTTACAAAAACCAACTAGTCACAGTTCAACTTTTAACCATTTAAATTTTCAGCTTTTTCCTTTTAAACAAATTTAAAGTGAAACAACACAAAACACTGCAAACCACAACACAATTACATATAAATTATAATATGAAAACAAAAAGAAGATGCATATTCTCTGTCATATGGACCTGCATGAACAAACTTTCTGAATCCTTTATCACCTGCAACTGAAAATAGTTGTGGATGATTACTACCTTTCTAATGTGACGTTGTTGTCCCTGGCTCTCTTTCTCTCTCCCTCCTGCTCTGTTCCTGTGCTACATGCGGAGTGAAGCGGAAAAAAAGTGCGAGAGAGAGAAAGAAAGAAAAACCTTACAGCTTGCGATAAGGAGCCGGCTCGCGTCATTCACTTCAAAGACCCGGCTCTAAGAGCCGTTTCGTTCGCGACCGACACATCTCTAGTTCTTACTACTTCCTTTGTATTTTGAAGGTTACGTTCCTTATGGATCTTCAACATCATGCTTTGATGTTTTGCCCCTCCTTGTCTCCTTCATCCTTCTCCATGTGAACCAGAAATCAGTCTCAGTTCTTCAGTTTCCTTTTCTTATTCTTCGTCATTGACTGTTTTGCCATGTGCGTCTGAGAGTAATGAATGAACGAACAACAGTTTAACTGTGTGTCATTTTGCGAATTTTATGCAATTTTATGTGAAGGCTGTAAACATGTAACTTTCATGAACACTGTTAGACCTGACATGATTAAATACAGCAGACAGATGTTGCAGCTGTGCGAACATCACATTTAAATCACTTTGAAATGAGGCTCTGAGGTGAGGATGGGTTCGTCGGTTAAAACACCTGCTGCCTTACTCCTCTCTCTTCAGGTCTCCTCTTCACCCTGAGATGTGCAAGTGTGAGTCAAACTTTAGCATCAGAGTGTGGTATAAATATAGCCACTAGGTGGCAGCACAGGAGCTTAAGTTTGGCCCACAGTGGCTTCCACTCTGAGCTTTAATGGCACAAAACTGTAAATACAGAGTCCGAAAGAAAAAGCTACATCATCAGAAAAGAGATCACACAGGAACGGAGAGTCAGTGTTCTGCAGGCTGCACACATTTTGACACTTATCCTGCAGTCATAGAAGGAGAGGTGGGGCACAGAGGTGGACAGATTACCTGCATTTTAGCCCCGTCTGTCACAGGACTAACACAAAAAGACAACCTTTCACACTCACATTCTTATGGGCAATTTAGAACCACCAGTTAATCTAACCCTACTAACTGTATGTCACTGGACTTTTGGAAGAAGCTCCGGCTTCCTCCAAAAGTCCAGCTACCAGCTAGTTTGAGGCATGAAAATGCAACTCCACACAGAAAGACTGGATTCAAACCTTGTTCCTGTGAGGTGATGGTGGTGACTACCACACTATTTTTCCTCCCTTGGTTGACTAATCAAACAAAAATTCATATATGAATGCAAATACTCTTCAAATTACGATGGAAAATATAATAGTTATATAACAGTAACAGTTTTTAAATGCTGCATGTTTGATACTTTTTCAGTTTTTATGTTCCAAAAGATTATAAAAAGTTAATACTGACTTCTGTTGTAGACTGCAGTGTGACAAGCAAGCAATCTTTACCTGCTCAGTAGCTATTTTTCATAAATCTATGCTAAGTTATTATAATTTTAGAAACAATCTTCCTTCTTCAACTTCCACCATGTGATCCTTGCCTCTGCCTTCACTCACTTCTTCTTCTTGATGTCTGAAGTCATCCTATAAACTACATGTGACGGTGCCTAGCTACATTCTCCTCTGACACCACCTGCTTCAGGGCAGAAATCAGTCTCCTCTTTACATCTCTGGTGTTGCACGGGTGTGTTCAGTGACCGGAAGACTGCTTTATCTTTAAAATCTTTTATTAAAGACAAACATAAACTTTCCACTTCATCCTGAGCTCTACATTCAAACTGGTCCAGTGCAGCTGTACGACTGTAAACACACAGAGGATTAAATAAATAATAAATAATATAGAGAGGAGTGCAGGGATGTGTTTGGCAGCGAGCTGGACGTCAATGGTCAGACTGGTTAAGCTGTGGTGAAGGTGTGTGGGTCTGCTTCAGCGAGGAGTAGATGACGGCTGAGTCTTTTGCAAAGTCTGAAGACAAACACACAGATTACAGAAGGTTCAGTCCTGCACCGGCTCAGTTTATCACAGAGGAGCTGATGTGAGCAGGAGGAGTTTAACACTGCAGGTGAAAGAATAAAACTAAATCTGTCTTGTACACTGTATGAACACCTGAATCTCACGAATATAGTAACCAATATTTAAATTATAAACATGCATTTGTAGTTGTATTCAGGCCTTTTGTGTATGAATGATGTGATAACTTTGCTAACTTACAAATTCACCTTTTATTTCCTCGTCTCCTGACATCTCAGAGTTGTTTACACCACCTTCACATTTATACAACATGTTTTCTTACTATAGTTACAGAATGTACTGTCTTCATCACACAAACTAGGGTTTGTCTGCCACAGCTGTGTGTATCATGTGTTTAACCTCTTCATATGCTTCTAATATTATAATTTATCCTCCTCCCAGAGCTAATAACCACATTCATGTGACCACAGTGATTTTCACAGTGTGTGCTGCTACTCTTTTGCTAAACTTTCCTACAGAGGAGTTTGTGGAGCGAGCATGAAAGAGGAGCAGCTGTACCTCTGTAACTGCTGTTTGTCCTGATGGCGATCTGTGCATAGCTGACATCAGCTGTTCCATACAGTAAAGAATAAACTGCAGCGGGATCGCTCTCTGCAAGACAAGACAGAGTCATGCGACTGATACACAACTGTTGTTTGAGGGTGAGAAAAATTTGGACTTTTCATAAATTAGACCTGCAAGCAGGAGGATGCAGCGTGTCTGGTGTTTCACCGAAAGCTGCTTTTACACCTCAGCTAAGGTTCCCACATGTTTACAGACTGTGTTAGTTAATAAAACAGGAAGCTCAATGGCCACAAAGCTCCCCAACTCTCTCAGAAACATGTTTCACTTTTACATGATGCATTAAAATATTTTGCAAAACCAATTTCAAAGAAAAACACTAAACATTTTTGTTTTGTTCTGTTTTTTTACGTTGATCTGACCGTGTTTACCATTTAGCAACGCATCATTATAACGTTTAACTTGGTTTGTCGATACATCACAAACAAAATGGGTTTGGCTCTCTGTGAAAGTCCAATGGACAAACTTTGGCTGTGTTTAATAAAAAGGACATGATGAGCTTAGTGTGTTAATGTGGTTTATTAACATCATTACAGGGAACCAGCTTTAGTTCCCAACAAAGGATTCAGCTGTGGATGCTGGACGGCTTGAACTTCACTGTGTTCTGTTTAATGAGGTTTTTTTAATTTTTAGTGAGAGACACACAGCTACTTCCTCCAGCAGCACTTTCTGCCTTATTAAAGGAGGACTGAGAAATAAAAGCTTGTTATTACAATGTATAATGTTATTATTACTATTATTATTTTAGCAGCAGGTTATTTAACTGAGGAAAGCATCGGAGGAGCTTCTCATTTCTTAAACATGTCAGAGGATATGATGTTGCTGTGTTTCAGACGGGTCAAATTATTGGCCTGTGTCAAGCAAAGAAGCAGCTTAGGAAAAGCTCAACTACTAAAACCTGGCTACGAATGACCCCACACGTTATTAAAACCTGGGGGAAAAAACTAAAGAGTGCAAATAAATCACTTAAACATTTGATGACAGCACATCACAAAGAGAGAGCATTTCAACATTTCTGCAGTGCACGATCTTTAATGAATCACTGCTGTCTGAAGTAGATTTCATCACAGTGCATCCAACACACGTTTAAACATCCTGAGGAAATGTCAGAGGATCATCGACGAGTTTAGAGACTGTGTAACAGGAAACGTTTCATACCTCTGGTCACATTTGACTCATACTGGCTGTTTGCTGTTGTTCTTTCCACTAAGGAGTAGGTGGCATCTGGTGCAGGATCTTGCTCTGTAAAACAAAGTCAGACTTTCCATAAACAACAGGACTGGTACTGCTGCTGCTGCTTCAGCATTTGGAATATTAATACAGCTGAAATCCAGAAACATGTTGACACTGTGTGAAATCTCTTAACCACTTATTTTATTCACAATGAAGCACAGAAAACATTTGAAATGTCGAAAAAGACTCATTTTAATGTTTTATGAAAAGGTTGGGACGGGTCAACAAAAGGCTGGAAAAGTAAAAAAGAAACAGCTGGAGAACGATGCTGTATCTAATCAGGTTAACTGGCGGGAGGTCAGGTACATGACTGGGTATAAAAAGAGCTTCTCAGAAATGAAGACCACTGATCTGCAACAAACTGCGGCTACAAATTGTCAAGCAATTTCTCAACATGACAAGTTTCTCCACATAAAATTACCAAAACCTTTGGACATCTCATCATCTACAGTGCAGAATATCACCAACAAATTCAGAGAATCTGAAGGAATCTCTGTGCGCAGGGCCCTCAGTGCTACTTGAGATCCCTGTTTTGAGCATTCAGACAGCACAAACTCGACTCTTTCATGGAAATCACTGCACGGGCTCAGGAGCACTGCAAAAATGTACTGTCTGTGAAGAAGGAGAGGGAGCACTGGGCTTCATATCAGACCTCTGCCTGAAAGTCTGTATCTCTGATCATTTGGGGATGTTTGTACGGAATCGGCAGCTTGCACATGTGGAACGGCAAAAGTCAGTGTTGAAAAATGTATGCAGATGTATTTTTCAGGAAAGGCTCAGCATATTTCAGCAAGACGATGCCAAACTGCATACTGCATCTATTACGACAGTGTGAATTTGTAGTAGAAGAGTCCAAGTGGTGAATTGTCCTTCTTGCAGGACTTTGAGCAGCTGGAATCCTCTATGGGACAAGAATGAGACCACATTCCTCTCCTAAAAGTCCAGCAGCACCAGTTCCCACGTGTTTACAGACTGTTGTTGTTGTGTGACATGACCCTGGCCAACTTTATTCAAATGTAAAAAGACTTTTGTTTTCTTTAAAAAGTACATATTTTCAGTTTACACATTGTTTTCTTTGTTCTATTGTGAACGGAACGTTTTATTATTTTATTAGGGATTAATGAAGTATTCTGATTGTGAGAAATATAAAGTTATGAGATCTGAAAATCACTGCAACCGTTTGGTGGATGGTGTGTAAAATATAGAAAAGAGCTAATGATGTTTAACATGAGAAGTAAAACCGAAATAAAAAAATCGAGGTGTTTCTTTCTCTCAGTCCAGGGGTGAGAAACTGAAACTGGACAGCAGCAGAGCTTCTCCTTCTTCTCCTTCTTCTTCAGCATGCTGATGTGCAGTTCAAACACACGGGTATTTGGTCGTAAAGTGAAGCTTTGAAAGTACTGACAGTATTAACATGCTACCTAATCAAACATGGGTGTTTGGGCCAACACACATGTTGTAAAAACCCCAAGCACGAGCTGGGCAGACCCTGTTGTGGAACCATCAGAGGAACATCAAAGACTTCTGAGATTATATAACAGGAAACTTTGCGTACCTCGTTTGCTGTTTGATTCCTTTTGGTGGTTTGCTGCTGTTCTTTTCACTGATGAGTAGGAGGCAGCAGCTGCAGGATCTCTCTCTGCAAATACCAAAGATTTCCCTCTGATAATACAACCGTTACTGCTGCTTCGGCATGTTAATATGTATAAAGCATTGTGTTTTTAATGAAGCTGAAATAAAACAGTAACTCTTTCAAAAATCTTTCTGAACGCTGAAAAAAATGTCTCTTTTTTTACAGTCAGATAGCTGGATGGCAGCAGAGCTTCTGCTCTCATCGACTCTCTTTGACCACAAAGTCTGAAAACACAAACTAATCATAAATATTAAAATATAAGGATATATTTCAAATATGATGATTATCATCAATTATAGTAGCTTAAAATGGACTTTTAGAATTTACTTAAAAATGTGAAGGTCTATGGCTCAACAACTCACAAATATAATAATGTGAAATTAACACATCCTGTGCACCATGTGACCATTTTTAAAGGAACAGTTCACCTCATAATCACACCTACATGTGTTTGGTCTCCAGTGCTGCTTATCCACTCAGATTAGTGACTGGCCAAACTTAGAGATATTTGATTACAGTTTTTTCCTTTAAACTATTTAACATGTTCACATTAAGTGTGAGCAGAATGTGTGTCTCACCTTCAGGTTTCCTCTGGACACATCGCCTAACCAGTACAACCAGTACAACCAGCATTAGCAGCCCAAATATGAAGGGAACAGAAACCAGCACAGAGAGAGGAGGAGAGGAGCGCTGAGAAGGAGGAGTAGAGGAAAACGAGGAGGAGAAAGAGGCAGTGGAAGCTGATGGAGGAGGAGAGGTGGAAGACCCTGGAATTAAAGAGAAAAAGGGATCTTTGTGGTCACTTTGAGTCGCTTTTGGTCTAAAATCTGTAAAATAAACAAATTCCTCACCTGTGACAGTGATCCAGCTGGATGGAGACTCTCCATGACCGCTGATGTCACACTTGTAGAGGCCTTCATCAGACCTGGAAACATGCTGGATGGTCATGTGACCTGTAGGCTGCTTCCTGATGAGGGAGCCATCTTTATAGAAAGCAGCTGGGAGGTTGGAGGGAGTGGTCTTTGTTTTACAGAGCAGAGTGACGTCATCTCCCTCCATCACAGGGAGGACAGGACTCTGCAGGATCACTGATCCACCTCAACACAGAGACAAACTACAGCATTTCATCCATTTACACACAGCTTCATCAACACTAACTCCACACACTCAGCTTACCAGTGACTGTCAGCTTAACCATGTTACTGATGGGACCCTCTCTGGACTCACACCAGTAAACTCCACTGTCCAGTGGGATGATGAAGCTGATGTTACAGCAAGAACCAGCTGGTGTTCCCCACTCCTCACACTCAGCTCTGGTGTGTGTGCTTGTGTTTCTCCTCAGAGTCCATCCAGCAGAGCTGTCGTCCTCCTCACAGCTCAGAGTCACAGAGTCATATTCAAAGAACTGAGAGCTGCTGGGACTCACACTTAAATGAACTGAGAGAAAAACAAACAATTATTTATATATTTTCTCACATAGAGAGCATAAAAGAGGATCCACAAGTGAAGCTTCTGCAACATTTTTTTGATCAGATGCCAAAAGCCCTCCCTTTCAATCTTGCTGCTATCCTTCTGTCACAAATCACCCTGATGAATCTCATCTCCATCCTGATATACTAGTAGATGTTAAAAGGCACTGGCAGGTAGATCTTGTTAAACAAAATATAACGTAACAGTTTATTAAATTCCAAATCCTAAATCTGGTCCAATACAGTAATACAACAATAAACAGAACAGCTCTACTCAGTAAACGTTTTTCTGTGAGTGCTGCTGTTCTGTTTACTTAGACAGAATCCTGATGGCTGACAGGTTGAACTAACCAGCTGTGCAGATGTTCATGTAGTGATCAAACACTGTGGGTTTTACATAAGTGTCCTATGTGCCTCTTAGTTCATCGTCTCTCTGAAGCAAAATGTTTTAGCTCCTCTCACTCAACACCAACCTTCTTCCCCCTCAAATAGGTGTGAGCAGCACTGTGGGGCTTTTTTGCTCACACATTTAAATATAAGGGATAAACCTCATCATACACAACCAACAGCAGAAAAAAGACTCAATTCAATTTGAAATTTTGAGCATGTTTGATGGGAAAAAAGATACCGAACTGCAAAAACGGATTTTTAATATTTTTAGGTAGACAGTCTGGTGAGAGCTGAACATGTATGTGACTGGATTTTCTCTCAGTCTATGTTAAAAGCACATCCGATCACTTTAACTAAGATTTACAGGTCACTCTGAAGACAACATGAAGATACTAACCTTTTTACATTCACCCTCTTTTTCTTTTTTTACTAATAAGGCCTCAAAAGTGCACGGAGCTTGTTCACTGGACTCTTATAGTAATATCGTTGACAAGAAATGTATCGACTTCCGTGTCAGGAGCTGCTTCTGCTCACGTCTTGGTATCTAGCTGACACTATTTGAAACCAGAAGGCTGAGCTTTTATAATGTCATTAAAAATACAATCAGCAGGATTTTTATTCAAATATTAAACTGAATCAAGACATTTTATTAAATGTTTGACTGAATTTTACCACACAGAGTTTCACTTCACCAACCGTGCATTAAAGCTGCTCTGACTCAGCTGGTCCATCTGAGCCTAACCAGTTTCTATTCTGTCTCTACTTTTGTCACTTTCATCACAGTTCCAAGTTGTTTTTACACTCTTTTATTTTTTATAAAAAGTGTTAGTTGGTAATAAAGCAGGTTGTCCCTCACCTTGGTTAGTTGTGCAGCAGAGCAGCGACATCAGGCCTGAAAACGAAGCACAACAGATACCAACATCTGTTTATAGGAGCAGCAGAACGGTGACCACAAATTAATTTCCAAGCGATGAACTCAAAACGACTTCTTTAAACAGGACGTGCCGTGTAGGAGGAGGTGAGGATACAGTTTCAAACTGCAGTGGTTTATGTGCAAAATCACATTTTTAATGACGTTTAAAAAGTAAAATGTTATAACCTCCTGTTACAGATGTAAAGCAGCTGGATAGAAAGAGCTGATGTGCACACTTCTACTTAAACCTTCTTACACCATCCTAAAAGTTGCATCTTCCTCTTTGTAGTCTCGTCTCTTGTCCATTTATCTCGAGGTCATTATCACAGTTATTGAGTATTAAGTGTCTCGCTGCCACTCTCAGCAGAACAGCTTCAAGTCACGCAATAAGATTTACAGGCAGCATGTGGTACTTACAGAGCGGCCACAGAAGACGTGTTTGTCCCATCGTGCCACACAGATCTGAGATCTTCTTGTTTCACAGAAGCACTTGAACCCTCCTCCTTCCTCTCGGCAGCGCAGTTTAGAGGCCCTGTGGTTTCTCTGAAGCAGTTCTACGAAAAAAAAGACAGAAAGAAAAAAGGAAAGTCCTGTAAGTTTCAGGTTTGAAGCTGAAATATGAATCACAGAGTTTATTAAAGCGATGAACGGGAAAGAATGAAACATGTCAAAGCTGTGGGCACCTGAATATTATTAGTTTTAAACCTTCATAAAATTTGTTTTAGTGTTTGTCGCTTAGTCTTTGAGGAAATTATCATGACCTGAATGAACCAACCTCAACATGTAAAATGTAGGACATTTATGTAAGCTGTTATTCTGGCCTGTATATGATTTGCACCATATAACAAAATTTAAACTTTCAGGTATTTGATTAACTTCTCATGCACAGAAATGCAGCTTTGCTACACAAACAACACAGAAATGACAGCTGTGATAGTAGACTTTATATATCTTTATATCTTTCTTGTGTAAATGGAAATTTGTCTGTGTTGTTGAGCAAATTCTTAACGCTAGTGTGTATTTCACGCACATGGAGAGATTTTTTTTTACTCGCTGGTGCACTGTTACACGCAAACTACAAGATGCCCTTTTGGGATTTAACTTGTTGAACATGTCAGTGTGTTAATAAAGTTAACTTGAAAAAAAAAGCGAGGCGGAAGAAAAGTGACGGACATGCGCTGCTGTGCTGCAGCCATGCTTCATTCAAAGTGCCACCTGATCGAAACCAGTGACAGCCCTGCTGTCACTCAGCGAGAATTGGGAGACTGGGAGGATTTAAACGCAGTGTTTTGCTTTTCATTCCTTTTCTCCCTCATGGACGTCCGTGTGACGGTCGTCCGCACACATGAATGCAAAGGGGGGCAGTTTTACCTCAGGAAGCCAAAGACGGTGATCAGGTGAGTTCGTGTCATTCTTCGAGTCGACAACTTTTCAGTCCCTTTTCTTTCTCTACCCGCACACATGTGGAACAGCTTGTTGTTAAATGAAGCCTTTTAAACGTGAGCACTTAGAAAGCAAGCGTCCTCTGACGTCTTCGTGTATCCTGGGTTAGAATAAGCGCTTTTCCCTTGATGTCCCTGAATGCATCAACGTGCAGAGTCTCAGAGGCATTTCGACAGCTTTTGAGTTTCCTGGTTGTAAAACTGCTGCTGAAGACAGTTTATTACAGGTTAGTTCATCTTGCGCAGTGTTAGTTAAACATTTCGATCATTATGAGTAAGAATTAAACCTGCAGTGCCCGCTGACGGACACTAGAGGGCAGTCAGTCATTTCACATTTACAGAAATACACAGGTTGAAACCAAATATCATTTCTCCAGCATCTATAGTAGAATAATAGAAACAAAAAACAAAACAAAAGCAAAATTAATATATAATAAACACTAATAAACAATATAAACACTTCATGGATGATCTCACTTCCTCTAGGCTACTCAAACAGGGGAGAGAGATCAGGGCAGTGCTGCGGTGTGTAGGAGGATATGCCGGGGTAGTGACGATGAGCAGGCGAGCAGAGATGGTTGAGGTTAACAGCATAGACTGCAATATGTTTTTGTGGTTGGAATCCTCAGTAAACAAACAGCTCCACGCCCTGCCACTAGCGTGTGATCTAAGGCGAGATAAACAGTGTGTGCAGCTTCAGAGCTAAACCCCGCTGAGACAGCTGATGCAGCTTTCCAGCCCACGTCTCCGTGAACCTTACAGTGTGTGCGCGCTGCGAGTTCGACCAAATGATGAATAACACTGCATCCGCTACAGTGAGACGTTAGACATACAATAGATCAGCACAGGTTTTATAGTTAGATGTAACTGATGTATGGAGTGATTTTAAATTCCCACTGTACAAAAACGGCAACAAACAAACACACAAATAAAAAAAAACAGACAAAAAAAAAACAGTGATCACCGTCGCACAGAGATATTGTAAAGACTGTGCAGTGTAAAACGTAAGACTGGGGGCGTGTCCTAAACGCAGCAGACCGCCTTTGACTCCTTGGCAAAACAAATGTACACACATCCAGTTTCCAGCAACTTCAGGGTGGTCGGTTGTGAGTTGTTCTGCAGAAATGTCTCACATTCTTCTTCTTCTTCTTCTTCTGACTTTCGAGACAGCGGCATCACAAGGTGAGTGCCAAACAAGCGGAGGAGTTGGCAGTCTGCCAAACGCTGTGACTCACGATTTTTAGGGAAGTTTTTTTTTTTTAAACAGCTGTTCAAATGTAATCATTAATAGCAGCGTGTTTGCAGCGAGCAGCCACCTGAAAATCGTAACTGTGGCCCGGCTGATGGTAAATAAAATCAAATGCGAGCGAGATGATAAACATATCTTTGAGATTCACTGCTGCTCTTTAAATCTGCAGATTTGCAGTGAAACAAAAGCGAAACTGCGTTTTCTTTACTTGATATAGGCAGAATGTTGCATCAAAGAAAAGAGTTTGAGGTGATGGGCGAGTGAGATTGAATTCATTGCCTGCAGGCATGAATATTGTTAAGTAAATGAAAGGCGTTTCCAGTCCATTTGTTATAATCAGAGCCGGTGTTCCAGCTTAACTGGTTTTTTTCCACTTTGAGAGGATGATGTTTTTTGCATTTAAACAAATGGTGGCAAAACTATATAGTTTATATATATAATAATAATATATACTGAGGTACCAATCGGATAGATGCGTGCCAGGAAATCTGTTTATTTCAAAAGCGAACAGCCCAGATTCTCATTAAAGCAACAGATTTGCTTATAAAGTGCTCTGTAGTCATCTCGGTGTACATCGCTCCTCTTTTACACCCTGCTGGTTTGCTTATCTTGTGCAGAATATTACGATGACATCATGTTATATCGAGCAGCAGCTGATTACATTAAACTTTGACTGTTATCACTGGTTAACTTGGGCGTGTTTCCTAAATCAGCAGATGTTAAACAGCTGACAGGTCAACAGGATATATGCAGGTAAACTCAAAGGTCTATTGAGCTGATCGATGGTGTCGTGAGGAAAACACTGGCTCGTCTAAAGTTTATTATTATTTTTTAATTAAAATAATTTCATTGTTGTCGGGAGATAATATTGATGCTAATTTCTAGGAGCTGGAGATTGTTTTTGTTTTTTTTTGCAGAGGTCTTTAATCTTGTCAAACCACATAAGCCACTGACAGACAGATGAACACTCAGTGAAAATGATAAATCTGCAGATCCAACATCTAGAACACTGAGAGTCGAATAAGTAAACAAATCTAACCAGTTAATATAAGAACCAGTTTACCTGGAACACCAGCACGAGGTGTTGAGTGGCTCTAAGCAGAGATTAATTTGGACTGCATGCTTCCATCGCCTACCACCCACCTCAGCACCACCAATACTTATATATTGTCCATATTTGATCTTTTGCACATCTAAAACATCGGTTATTGATGTCTTACTGCAGCGGTGGGGAACTCCAAGCCTTAAGGGCCGGTGTCCTGCAGCTTTTAGATCTCACCCTGGGTCAATACACCTGAATCAAATGATTAGTTCATTACCAGGCCTCTGGAGAACTTCAAGACATGTTGAGAAGGTAATTCAGTCATTTAAATTAGCTGTGCTGGATCAAGGACACATCTAAAACCTCAAGGCCACCTTTGAGGCCTGGAGTTCCCCCGCCTCTATCTTACTGGGACTGAAAGGGAAGAAAAAGACAGGAAACAGTAAACATTGCATTTACAAAGCAAATAAATAACACGCCCTAACCCAGAGCAGCAGAGTTAAGTATCTGGTTTACACCCATTCAAAAACTTGCCAAATCTTCTCTCGCAGCGCCAAACAGACTATTCTTCTTTTGAATCTAGTTTTAAGATTCTGGTACTCCATGTGCTGACAATCGGGTGTCTGATTGGCTCCTTATCAGCAGCACCTGGGAGCATGGACCCTCTTGCAGCGCACAGTTAGCGTCTGCTCCTAGCGGGGGTGACAAGAGGAAGACAGTTCATATATAGCTAATGTATCTGTGAATAATAAGGAGATCTCACAGCTTTTTCCATAATGGTCTGGAAATGACTCCGTAACTGGAATACAGCTAAAATGATAATGTGCAGTTGCACTTTTAAGAAAGCTCATTTTGAAATGTATTGCTAGACACACACAAATGGATAGGATTCAGCCTGACACAAGGATAGGCCGAGGATCAAAGGATCTGCTGTTAATGACTACCATAGCTAGGGATGGGTATCGAAAACCGGTTCTTGTTGAGAACCGGTTCCCACTGTTTCAATTCCTTGGAATCGTTTGCCATTTTTGCAAACGATTCCCTTATCGATTCCAGTCGCCCCGAATGACGTCACCACGTTGCGGCGCGTCATTTACCTGGCAGGAAACACGGCGCCTAAGCGGCTCAAACGCTCAAAAGTTTGATTATACTTTATGAGAACCGATGACAACAGGGCAACTTGCAAAGTAGATATTTCATTTAAGGGAGGAAACACTACGAATATGCAAAAGCATTTGCTCACAAAACACGCGATGACACGTGTTTTTAATTCCGCTCCGGACTCGTGACTCTCAACCCAGCAGCAGCGCTAACGTTTGCACGTCCTCTCCCGTTAATGCGGCAGGTAAATAATCAACTAACAGTGCAAATTATGTTAGCGCAATCTGCCTTATTACAAGACCTGCCATTACTGTACATGTACATGTACTCTGTCTGTCTCTCTCATCACAGTCACCTATAGGTGACCGTGATGAGAGAGACAGACAGAGTCTGGCTCAGATGCTGGCAGTTCTCGCTGCAGTCTACCCGTAGCGTCTCCTTTCAGGCCAGGATAGACGAATGTCACCGAGCAGTGACTAAGTTTGTGGTAAAAGGCTTGAACCCATTTGCCACAGCAGATGCCCCCGATTTTTGGTAAGTGAATGTGTTTAATTGTAGGCAGGGACATTACTGGATATTCTTGTGTAATTGCCACAGAACAATTTATGTTATACTTTGTTATTGCTACAGAAGAATATTTATTTTATTATTTTACATTTACAATTTTTTTTCCTGGGGACCCTGTGACACCCCATTGAAGAGCCATAGGCTGTGGATCTCTTAAGATGTCATTGTTGGGTTTGTAAGGCCATGTTACTCCTAAATTTCTATCTTGTTCAAAGAGAAGATATAAAACAAAGTTCTAAGCTAATCGACCTTAGTGTTCTCCTTTTTTAAAAAAAAAAAAAGAATCGATAAGAGAATCGATAAAGAATCGAATCGTTAAAATCTTATCAATACCCATCCCTAACCATAGCCCATTACCTCAGAAAACTGGAGTTACGTTTGTCATAGAAAACATTGCCCAAGGTGTCTTTACAGCACGGTTTACTACAACAATACAATAATACCATAGTTTTACAATAATATCTAAGATGGTCGAGGTCATCGTGGAATGCGATTCAAATATAAAGCCCTAAACTCACAGCACACCTTTAAAGGCTGGTTTCATTTTTCATTTTAACTAGCGTGACTGTAGCTAGATTATGATAAGATACTGGAATCAGTCAGTCACGTCTTGCTGCTTTTGTTCTGGTTTTTTAGTTTTTGTTTTTTTTTCTCCCTCTGATGGATAAATCCTTTTGATGCATTGTTAGAGTGAATTGTTAAATGTTGTCATTTCTACGCTTGCCAACTCTGATGAAAGAAATTCCACTGTCCTTCCCCCCAGATTCTCCAGGTTCTAGGTGGGGGGCTGTAATGTTTTATTGCAGATACAAACTATCTGGAAGATCTGCTTCTTTTCATGTAAGCTTCCTGCGTTTACGACCCTTTGGTCAGCAGGAGGTCTCACACACACACACACACACAGTCTTACAGAAGTTCACACATATACATACAATGCCTTGCCTTAGAACCATGTGGGCGTGGCTTTGTTCTGATGTTTTGTCTCTCAATAAAAAGGCAGCAAGGGAGGTCATCGCCGAGGTCATTTTCGTGGTGGACACAGGCCTCCCTTGCGCAAGTGATCGATCGATCGACTGTCTTGTTTTCTTCATGATGAATACGTTTCTAGAATTAGCGAGGCTTGTGGAAACACAGACCCAACATTCATATTTGTTGCAAGTAGAACAACACAGAAATCTTTATACCAGTAGTTTTAAGTTGTCATATCGTTAGCATATTTATCTTTCTGCATGAAACCAGAAAATGACCTAATGTGTTACAAAACAATCGCATGTTATTGTATTTAGCAATGTAGCTTCCAGACATATAGGTTTATAGATGTTGTTCATATCAGTGCAATTTGATGTTGCCTTTGAAATCTCCAAAAGTTGATTCTGTTCATCTGGACGTAGCGTTTTGTGGGAGAAACATTTCGTCACTCATCCAAGTGACTTCTTCAGTCTCAGCTGAAGGTTTCCCCGATCTTAGGAAGAGTACATTTGCATAATGACTGAAACCATGAAGGAACAATGGGCTGGGAGGTCAGTTCCTTAATATTAATTATGCAAATTCACATGACCATTGATCAATGGCCTTGAGTACCATTCACATAGAGTTGTGGAATGGCTTCAATCACAGCATTGTAAGATGGCCAGGACTCTGCAGTCTATTTACACTTACAGGCCAGTGGACACGCTTTCAATGATGAGGATGTACACATCCTGGACAGGAAGGAACGCTGGTTTGAGCGCAGAGTCAAGGAGGCCATTTATGTGAAAAGGGAAAGACCATCTCTGAATGGAGGAGGGAGCCTAAGGGGACATCTGTCACCATCATACTATTCTGTGATTGCAGCCATTCCTCAACTCTGTGTGAATTGTACTGATTGCCATTGATCATCACGTAGCGTGCCACACAAGACACTTTGCAACCTGCTCTTTAATCCCTTTAATCCCCGCTTTTTCTCCTGCTTTGTACACATTAATTATGTTTGTTCCTGCTCTCTTACTTTTT